ATTCACACTTCATGCCCACTCCCATAAGTCTACCTACCCTACCTCAGACCTTCCTGTCTCCAATCTTCTAATCTTTCTTCTTCTAGGACCTGGATCAAGGAGCCATATGTTTTCTTACCTTGGGCCACTTCTGTTTCCACACAATGTCAGTGACAAGATCCACCACTGAAAACTGTTTATCATGAGGATTTCCCTCACTGCTACCTTTCAAGGTCATCCCTAAGTGGGATCAGAAGCAGTTCACTTTCACTTTGCACACACTAAGTTGAACCATCTTCAAACCAAACTCCGCCACTTTCCTCCTCTATCAGCTACTCCTACAGGACTTCTTGCGTGACCAGGGTATCTGAGGGTAAGGAGCCAGTGCAATGGGGGTAGATGACTCTGTCACCTGCTCATGTAGCTTACTTGTGCCTTTTGGTCCTGCTCATGTACAATCATGAATGTACCATTTCTATCTTAAAATGAAGTGCTGCTGGCCCACTTCTTATGACTTGATGAATCTGGCAAAAGCCAACTCATGATATATGGCTCTGGCAGTATGGTCCCTTGATGTCTCATGACCAGATAATACCAGGGCCTAATAACACATCAGGAATGGATTTTTAAATGGTATATGGTTCTGGGCTTCAGGTGGCATGGCCTTCTTCCAGAACCTTTGGGTTGCTTGCCATAAACCTCACAGAGCATCTTATCTCATACAAACACCTGCCTGTTTATAGGAAACAAGTGACAGGGCTGTGTACATCCCAGAGGCAGAGCCCTTTCTCTTTCTGGGTCTACAACCCACTGAAATCTGGGCATTTTCCATGTCACTCTCTAAGTGGGTCACAGCAGTGTTCCCAACTGTGGATACAGTGTTGTGCCATTGTGTTGCGGGTGTTTGTTTTTTTTTTAATTGGGTGTTATAAGACGCACTACTTTCTCCTTTACTTTGGAGGGAATATTCTAGCATGTCCCAGACCACTGAACTCTTACAAATCTTCACTGAGTATTTGTAGGGATTATCTCCTACTTTCTGGAGCATGATGGATCTTGTCAAGGTCTCCAGGTGCCTGCCACTTCATGCTCATCTGGGCTGATTAAAATGGTGTGGACCAAAATGACATTATAATGTTATGTCTAGATGTGTCAATATAAATTGCTTCTAATGCTCTGCTGATATGGATAGAAGAATGTATTCACTAAATCAATGCTACATAAAATGCCCCTAAAGGCATTTTACTCTGTTCTAGCTAAGCTACCACATCTGGCACATCAGCTCTAAATGGGGCTACTACTTGTTTAAGTTTATGGTTGTCTACAGTGATCCTCCAGTATCCAACAGGTTTCTGTAGAAGCCAGAACTGTGGATTATATCGGGACATTATGGTAACCATCACGTCTACATTCTTTAAGTCTTTATAGGTGACAGTCATCTTTGTCATGTCCCTGGGATAAAATATTGCTTTGGATTTGCTATCTTGGTTGGGATGGGGTTACTTTCAGGACTTCCACTTAGTCTTCCCCACTTTAATAGCTCTTACAAGCCAACATAAGAGTTTTGCCATTACCAATACGTTGTTTCAAATTAAACATTTTGGAACAATGGAAATGTCCACCAGCTAAGTCTGTGGACCAAGTAGATTTACTCTTGGTAAATCTGGTGCCAGAACCCCATTTATTATCTGGCTGTCACAGGATCCCACTCTAACAGGGGGGCCAGGATGGCCTTTTGGGTTCCTGAGTATCAGTATCTCTTGGGTATTGTGTTCAACTGTCCTCAAAATGTCTGGGTATTTTCCTTTCCTAGTATATGGTTATAGGACTAAATAGCTGTAAGTTCCTTTGTAAGAACTAGGAAATCCTTTCCATCTATACTTGCCTTAGTGTTTGGAATCCTTCTTCATTTATACTGAGCCTCTCCCTCAGTCAGTGGAGTCTGGATATTATAATTGGCTCAGGCCCAGAAATTAAGCAAGGGATTTGTGACTTTTTCTTGGGGAGGCTGAGCTCAGCCTTCTGATCATTCATCCTTGATTCCTTCTGATTAAACAATTATAGATTGTTTAAACAATACCCTTGTCGGTGGCACATCTATCGATATTTTTGCCCCTTGGAGCACAATGTTCGATGAACCATCTCCATGCTTTGTGGGTCAGGCCCAAGATCGCCATTCTGACCTTGCCATTTATTATGATAATTGTGACAATTATCCTCTGATAATGAAGTATCGGAACCAGCTGTCCTCAATTATTTGTGTTCCAGTCATCTCAATGCTACTAGAGAGCCCAGTTCTGTAACATCATCTCCTATTGTCAGTCCTGGAATACTGCTGTGGAGACAGCCATAACTGAGTTTCTAAAGCATGTTGGCATCCCCCTCACCAGTCTATATTAAGAAAGAATAGGTCACTTCTAGGAGCCTTAAGTGCTCAAAGAACTAAGATTTCAATATTCTGGAGTGCATCAAGCTCAGATTTTCCCAGCCCAAGTCTCAGAATTCTATTTCTTCCTAATCAGGACTTGGTATAAAATAATGGTTGGGTTTGAAAAGACAACCTTCTTTAGAGTTCTACTAGGTATGTAATTAAATCCTGAACCCTACCATCACCTTTTTTTATCCTTTGACTTCAGGAGATGAGAGTCTCTCTATGCTGTCCAGGAGGTTCTTGGGCTTTCTCACTTCTGCTTAAATTTTGATTAATCATTCCCAGTCCGCCATTGTCTTTCTCCAGTTGATTGATACACTCAGCACCTGTAATGTGATTCCTTAATACATACAATCAGTACTTCCATAACTGACAAATACCTTAGATATTGAACCACTCAGTCCATTTCCTTCCACTAGTATCACATTCCAGCTCACAGTTGCACAACTATGGCAGGCAAAGGGCTATCAATGATGGAGCTTTTTTTGTCAGCCAGCTGGGAGATGATGGAGCCCCCGAATCCCATTTTACACTGGTCTTTCTAGGAGCACACCTGGCATCAATTGTCTTAGATTGGATTCCTTGGAATAAGATTACTAGATAGAGACTTCATGCTGTGCTATCCTTTCAGAGTTGTCCTGAATCCAGGCATCTACTAGTTATTGGATGTGGGCTTACCCAGGCATAACCTTGGGAGAAGCATCTTCCTTAGGCCAAAGACAATGCTTGATGAGGGACACAGCTGGGAGCAATCAACAACCTACATTCCTAGTGGCTGAGGGAATGAGTGCCTTAGTCTTCAAGGGGTGACAATTTGAAACTCATTTCAAACTTTCTATTTCTTCTCCCCTATTCCTTAATTTTTTAAATTGGAAACAATTCATACAGTGCACTCACACGTACACATGAGGTCAGTCATACACACACACACACACACACAGCAAGCAAGTGACAAAGAGAAAGAAGAATTGTGCTGCTTTACCTTTGACTATCTTATAAGAAATTTTATTCATTTTCATTTCCACTTTTGATTCTTTTTTCAATTCTTTCTCAGTTTTGATGATTAGAATTCCCAACCAATGAAAGTTATAATTTTATTCATAATTTATAGACCCCTGATTAAATACCTGTATTAGGTGAAATATTTTTAATAGAGTTGTTTTTCTGAGATAATCATAGATTCATATGCAGCTATAGGAAATAATACAGAGGTCCTGTGTTCCCTTTACCCAGGTTAACCAATGGTAACATCTTACAAAACTATAGTACAATATCACAACCAAGATATTGATATTAATAGTCAAGATACAGAACATTTCTACCACCAGAAGTATCCCTCACTTTGCCCTTTTGTAGCCCTACCCTCTTCCCTCCCCCTACTGACTCCTCCTTAACCCCTGGCAAACATGAATCTGTTCTCCATTCCTATAACTTTGTCATTTCAAGAATGTTATGTAAATGGTATCATATTTGGTTTGGCCTTTTTCACTCATCATAATTTTCTGAAGAATAATCCATCTTATTGTATATCAATAGTCTCTTTTTTAATCTCTTTTTTATTGCTATGTACAGTTCTATGGTATAAATATACCACAGTTTAATCATTTACCCACTGAAGGACTTTCAGGTTGTTTCTAGTTTGGTGCTATTATGAATAAAGCTGCTATAAACATTCATGTACAAGTTTTTGTGTGACCATAAATTTTTATGAGATAAAAGGCCAGGAGTGGAATTGCTGAGTCGTAGGCAGTTGCATGTTTAGTTTTTTAAGAAACTGCAATATTCTTCAGAGGGACTGTTCCATTTTACATTCCCATAAGCAATGCATGAGTAACCAAGTTTTTCTGCATCCCTTGCCAGCATTTGGTTGAGTTTTCCAGTCCATGAACATAAACATGAATATGGTCAGACTCCTGATCTATTTAGATCTTTGATTCCTTTCATCAGCATTTTGTAGTTTTCAGCTATAATATCTGTGCATGTATTGTTATGTTTGCAGTTAAGTATTCCATTTTTTTAAATGACTGTAAATAACAGTGTATTTTTAATTTTGGTGCCTACATACTCATTGCTAATATATAGAAATGTAAATAATTTTTGTATGTTAATCATACATCCCAAGACCTTGCTGAACTAATTTATTAGTTGTAGGAGGTATATATACAAGGTTTTAGGAAGGTGTATATATATATATATATACACACACACACACACACACACACACACACACACACACACATACCTTGGGATTTGCTATGTCTGATCTATAAGCCTTTTATGTCCTTTTCTTACCTTCTTGCACTTGCTAGAATTTTAGTATTATGTTGAATAAGAGGGGTACAAGTGAACATCCTTGCCTTGTTTCTGATTTTAGGGGAAAGCATTCACTATTCACCATTAACTGTAAAGTGACCTGTAGGATTCTTGCAGATGTTCTCTATTAAGTTGAAGTAGTTCTCTTCTATTCCTGTTTTTCTGTGTGTTTTGAATTGTAGCACAAATGCTACAGATTCTTGCTGTTCTAACTGAGGTTTAGTAGATTTTCTTGAATGAATGTTTCTCTATTTCCTTTACTACAATTTCTTGAGACTTTAAATTATTTTCTAAAAAACTTTCATTGGCTAAATTCTTGTTTTTCTAAGAGAGGGTTCACAGGCAATCCCATCCTAGAATTGCATTTTGCTACGTTTTCTTGAGTGGGGAAGAAAGGGAAGGATTTATCATTTCATTCCTATAATAACACATGGAAATATATCACTAGAGTGAAATGTAATATCATGGGTGTGATGTGGTAAAATATTTAGGACTTCTAAGATAAACAATAAGAAGTTATTAAAGGTTTCAAGCAAAGAAAGGGCAGAATTTTTTTTTTTTTTTTGCGTTACTCGGGCCTCTCACTGTTGTGGCCTCTCCCGTTGCGGAGCACAGGCTCCGGATGCGCAGGCTCAGCGGCCATGGCTCACGGGCCCAGCCGCTCCGCGGCATGCGGGATCTTCCCGGACCGGGGCACGAACCCGCGTCCCCTGCATTGGCAGGTGGACTCTCAACCGCTGTGCCACCAGGGAAGCCCAAAAGGGCAGAATTTTAACCACCATGACTATGGCAGTTCTTATAATTGCTTCAAGAATATGAGTTTGGGTGGAGACCTTCAAGATGGCGGAGGAGTAAGATGTGGAGATCACCTTCCTCCCCATAAATACATGAGAAATGCATCTACATGTGGAACAACTCCTACAGAACACCTACTGAATGCTGACAGAAGACCTCACACTTCCCAAAAGGCAAGAAAATCCCCACATACCTGGGTAAGGCAAAGGAAAAAGAAAAAACAGAGACAAAAGAATAGGGACAGGACCTGCACCTCTGGGAGGGAGCTGTGAAGGAGGAAAAATTTCCACACACTGGGAAGCCCCTTCACTGGTGGAGACAGGTGGGGAGAGCTTCGGAGCCATGGAGGAGAGCGCAGCAAGAGAGTGCAGAGGGCAAAGTGGAGAGATTCCCGCACAGAGGATCAGTGCTGACCAGCACTCACCAGCCTAAGAGGCTTGTCTGCTCACCCGCTGGGATGGGCGGGGGCTGGGAGCTGAGGCTCAGGCTTCGGAGGTCACACCCCAGGGAGAGGACTGGGGTTGGCTGCGTGAAGACAACCTGAAGGGGGCTAGTGCACCACAGCTAGCTGGGAGGGAATCTGGGAAAAACTCTGGACCTGCCAGAAACACAAGAGACCTCTGTTTTGGGGTGCACAGAGAGAGGGGATTCCTTCCCAGTGTGCTCACAGAATGCAGAGCACAACCTAAGTGAGCTCCAGAGACAGGCATGAGATGCAGCTATCAGCTTGGACCCCAGAGACAGACATGAGCCGCTAACGCTGCTGCTGCAGCAACCAAGAAGCCTGTGTGCAAGCACAGGTCACTACCCACACCTCCCCTCCCGGGAGCCTGTGCAGCCCGCCACTGCCAGGGTCCCGTGATCCAGGGACAACTTCCCCAGGAGAACACATGGCAAGCCTCAGGCTGTTGCAATGTCACATCGGCCTCTGCCACCTCAGGCTCGCCCCGCATTCCAATTATGACTACCACACCCCTCCCTCTCCCCAGCCTGAGAGAGCAAGAGAGGCCTAATCAGCTGCTGCTTTAACCCCTCCTGTCTGGGCAGGGAACAGATGCCTGAGGGTGGTCAACATGCAGGGCCAAAACCAAAGCTGAACCCCAGGAGCTGTGTGAACAAAGAAGAGAAAGGGAAATTTCTCTGTGAAGCCTCAGGAGCAGCAGATTAAATCCCCACAATCAACTTGATAAACCCTGCATCTGCAGAATACCTGAATAGACAACGAATGTTCCCAGAAATGAGGCAGTGGACTTTGGGAACAACTGTAGACTTGCGGTTTGCTTTCTGCATCTAATTTGTTTCTGGTTTTATGTTTCTTAGTTTAGTATTTAGTGCTTATTATCATTGGTGGATTTGTTTATTGGTTTGGTTGCTCTCTTCTTTTTTTTATACATATATATTTTTTCTCCATTTTCTCTTTTTGTGAGTGTGTATGTGTATGTTTCTTTGTGAGAGTTTGTCTATATAGATTTGCTTTTACCATTTGTCCCAGGGTTCTGTCTGTTCGTTTTGGGGGGTGTTTTTTTTCTTTCTTCCTTTTCTTTTGAGCTGTGTGGCTGACAGGGTCTTGGTATTCCTGCCGGCTGTTGGACCTGAGCCTCTGAGGTGGGAGGGCCAAGTCCAGGACATTGGACCACCAGAAACCTCCATGCCCCAAGTAATATCAATTGAGAAGCACTATCCCAGAGATCTTCATCTCAATACTAAGACCCAGCTCCACCGAATGGGCAGCAAGCTCCAGTGCTGGACACCCCATGCTAAATGACTAGCAAGACAGGAACACAACCTCACCCATTAGAGAGGCTGCCTAAAGTCATACTAAGTTCACAGACACACCAAAACACACCACCAGATGCAGCCCTTCCCACCAGAAAGACAAGTTCCAGCCCCACCCACCAGAACAGAGGCACCAGTCCCCTCCCTTACCCACTGGGGGTAGGTACCAAAAACAACAGGAACTACAAACCTGCAGCCTGTGAAAAGGAGACCCCAAACACAGTAAGTTAAACAAAATGAGAAGACAGAGAAATATGCAGTAGTTGAAGGAGCAAGGTAAAAACTCACCAGACAAAACAAAGGAAGAGGAAACAGGCAGTCTACCTGAAAAAGAATTCAGAGTAATGATAGTAAAGATGATCCAAAATCTTGGAAATAGAATGGAGAAAATACAAGAAATGTTTAACAAGGACCTAGAAGAACTAAAGAGCAAACAAACAATGATGAACAACACAATAAATGAAATTTAAAATTCTTTAGAAGGAATCGATAGCAAAATAACTGAGGCAGAAGAACAGATAAGTGACCCGGAAGATAAAGAGTGGAAATAACTGCTGCAGAGCAGAATAAAGAAAAAAGAATGAAAAGAATTGAGGACAGTCTCAGAGACCTCTGGGACAACATTAAACGCCAACATTCTAATTATAGGGGTTCCAGAAGAAGAGAAAAAGAAAGGGTCTGAGAAAATATTTGAAGAGATTATATTTGAAAACTTCCCTAATATGGGAAAGGAAATAGTCAAGTCCAGGAAGCACAGACAGTCCCATACAGGATAAATCCAAGGATAAACATGCCAAGACACATATGAATCAAACTATCAAAAATTGAATTCAAAGAAAAAATATTAAAAGCAGCAAGGGAAAAGCAACAAATAACATACGAGAGAAACCCCATAAGGTTAACAGCTGATCTTTCAGCAGAAAATCTGCAAGCCAGAAGGGAGTAGCAGAACACATTTAAAGTGATGAAAGGGAAAAAACTACAACAAGATTACTCTACCCAGCAAGGATCTCATTCAGACAGAAAAATTAAAAACCTTATAGACAAGCAAAAGTTAGGGAATTCATCACCACAAAACCAGCTTTACAACAAATGCTAAAAGAACTTCTCCAGGCAGGAAACACAAGAGAAGGAAAAGACCTACAATAACAAACCCAAACAATTAAGAAAATGGTAATAGAAACATATATATTGATAATTATCTTAAGTATAAATGGATTAAATGCTCCAACCAAAAGACAGACTGGCTGAATAGATACAAAACAAGACCCATATATATGCTGTCTACAAGAGACCCACTTCAGACCTAGGGACACATACAGACTGAAAGTGAGGGGATGGAAAAAGATATTCCATGCAAATGGAAATCAAAAGTAAGCTGGAGTAGCAATTCTCATATCAGACAAAATAGACTTTAAAATAAAGACTATTACAAGTGACAAAGAAGGACACTACATAATGATCAAGGGGTCAATCCAAGAAGAAGATAAAACAATTGTAAATATTCATGCATCCAACATAGGAGCACCTCAATACATAAGGCAAATGCTAACAGCCATAAAAGGGGAAATCGACAGTAACACAATCATAGGAGGTGACTTGTCCACTTTCACCAATGGACAGAACATCCAAAAAGAAAATAAATAAGGAAACCCAAGCTTTAAAAGACACATTAGACCAGATAGACTTAATTGATATTTATAGGACATTCCATCCAAAAACAACAGAATACACTTTCTTCTCAAGTGCTCATGGAACATTCTCCAGGATAGGTCATATCTTGTGTCACAAATCAAGTGTTGGTAAATTTAAGAAAATTGAAATTGCATCAAGTATTTTTTCTGACCACAATGCTATGAGACTAGATATCAATTACAGGAAAAAGTCTGTAAAAAATAAAAACACATGAAGGCTAAACAATGCACTACTAAATAACCAAGAGATCACTGAAGAAATCAAACAGGAAATTAAAAAATACCTAGAAACAAATGAAAATAAAAACACGACAACCCAAAAGCTACAGGATGCAGCAAAAGCAGTTCTAAGAGGGAAGTTTATAGCAATACAATCCTACCTCAAGAAACAAGAAAAATCTCAAATAAACAACCTAACCTTACACCTAAAGCAATTAGAGAAAGAACAACAACAACAAAAAAAAAACCCAAAGGTAGCTGACGGAAAAAATCATAAAGATCAGATCAGAAATAAATGAAAGAGAAATGAAGGAAACAATAACAAAGATCAATAAAGCTAAAAGCTGGTTCTTTGAGAAGATAAACAAAATTGATTAACCATTAGCCAGACTCATCAAGAAAAAAAGGGAGAAGACTCAAATCAACAAAATTAGAAATGAAAAAGGAGAAGTAATGACTGACACTGCAGAAATACAAAGGATTATGAGAGACTACTACAAGCAACTCTATGCCAATAAAATGGACATCCTGGAAGAAATGGACAAATCTTAGAAAAGTACAACCTTCTGAGACTGAACCAGGAAGAAATAGAAAATATGAACAGACCAATCACAAACACTGAAATTGAGACTGTGATTAAAAATCTTCCAACAGACAAAAGCCCAGGACCAGATGGCTTCACAGGTGAATTCTATCAAACATTTAGAGAAGACCTAACACCTTTCCTTCTCAAACTCTTCCAAAATATAGCAGAGGGAGGAACACTCCCAAACTCATTCTATGAGGCCACCATCACCCTAATACCAAAACCAGACAAAGGTGTCTCAAAAAAAGAAAACTACAGACCAATATCACTGATGAACATAGATGCGAAAATCCTCAACAGAATACTAGCAAACAGAATCTAACAGCACATTAAAAGGGTCATACACCATGATCAAGTGGGATTAATCCCAGGCATGCAAGAATTCTTCAGTATATGCAAATCAATCAATGTGATACACCATATTAAGAAACTGAAAGATAAAAACCATATGATAATCTCAGTAGATGCAGAAAAAGCTTTCGACAAAATTCAACAGCCATTTATGATAAAAACTCTCCAGAAAGTGGGCATAGAGGGAACCTATCTTAACATAATAAAGGCCATATATGACAAACCCACAGCCAACATCATTCTCAATGGTGAAAATCTGAAACCGTTTCCTCTAAGGTCGGGAACAAGACAAGGTTGCTCACTTTCACCTCTATATTCAACACAGTTTTGGAAATTTTGGCCACAGCAATCACAGAAGAAAAAGAAATAAAAGGAATCCAAATCAGAAAAGAAGAAGTAAAGTTGTCACTGTTGCAGATGACATGATACTATACATAGAGAATCCTAAAGATGCTACCAGAAAACTACTAGAGCTAATCAATGAATTTGGTAAAGTAGCAGGATACAAAATTAATGCACAGAAATCTCTTGTATTCCTATACACTAATGATGAAAAATCTGAAAGAGAAATTAAGGAAACAATCCCATTTACCATTGCAACAAAAAGAATAAAACACCTGGGAATAAACCTTCCTAAGGACACAAAAGACCTGTATGCAGAAAACTATAGGACACTGATGAAAGGAATTAAAGATGATACAAACAGATGGAGAGATACATCATGTTCTTGGATTGGAGAAATCAACATTGTGAAAATGACTATATTACCCAAAGCATACTACAGATTCAATGCAATCCCTATCAAACTACCCATGGCATTTTTCACGGAACTAGAACAAAAAATTTTATAATTTGTATGGAAACATAAAAGACCTTGAATAGCCAAAGCATCTTGAGAAAGAAAAACAGAGCTGGAGGTATAAGGTTCCCTGACTTCAGAATATACTACAAAGCTACAGTAATCAAGACAGTATGATGCTGGAACAAAAACAGAAATATAGATCAATGGAACAGGATAGAAAGCCCAGAGATAAACCCACGCACATACGGTCCCCTTATCTTTGCTAAAGGAGGCAAGAATATACAATGGAGAAAAGACAACCTCTTCAATAAGTGGTGCTGGGAAAACTGAACAGCTACATGGAAAAGAATGAAGTTAGAACACTTCCTAACACCATACACAAAAATAAACTCAAAATGGATTAAAGACCTAAATGTAAGGCCAGACACTGTAAAACTCTTAGAGGAAAACATAGGCAGAACATTCTATGACATAAATCACAGCAAGATCCTTTTTGACCCACCTCCTAGAGAAATGGAAATAAAAACAAAAATTAACAAATGGCAACTAATGAAACTTAAAAGCTTTTGCACAGCAAAAGAAACCATAAACCAGACGAAAAGACAACCCTCAGAATGGGAGAAAATATTTGCAAATGAAGCAACTGACAAAGGATTAATCTCCAAAATATACAGGCAGCTCATGCAGCTCAGTATCAAAAAAACAAACAACCCAATCCAAAATTGGGCAGAAGACCTAAACAGACATTTCTCCAAAGGAGATATACAGATTGCCAACAAACACATGAAAAGATGCTCAGCATCACTAATCGTTAGAGAAATGCAAATCAGAACTACAATGAGGTATCACCTCACACCAGTCAGAATGGCCATCATGAAATAATCTACAAACAATAAATGCTGGAGAGAGTGTGGAGAAAAGGGAACCCTCTTGCACTGTTGGTGGGAATGTAAATTGTTACAGCCACTATGGAGAACAGTATGGAGGTTCCTTAAAAAACTAAAAATAGAACTACCACATGACCCAGCAATTCCACTACTGGGCATATACCCTGAGAAAAACATAATTCAAAAAGAGTCATGTACCACAATGTCCGTTGCAGCACTATTTGCAATAGCCAGGACACAAAAGCAACCTAAGTGTCCATCGACAGATGAAAAGATAAAGAGATATGGCACATATATACAATGGGATATTATCAGCCATAAATAGAAACGAAATTGAGTTATTTGTAGTGAGGTGGATGGACCTAGAGTCAGTCATATGGAGTGAGGTAAGTCCGAAAGAGAAAAATAAATCCCATATGCTAACACATATGTATGGAATCTAAAAAAAAAAAGTTCTGAAGAATCTAGGGACAGGACAGGAATAAAGACACAGACATAGAGAATGGACTTGAGGACATAGGGAGGGGGGAGGGTAAGCTGGGACGAAGTGAGAGAGTGGCATGGACATATATACACTACCAAATGTAAAATAGATAGCTAGTGGGAAGCAGCCGCATAGCACAGGGAGATCAGCCCGGTGCTTTGTGACCACCTAGAGGGGTGGGATAGGAAGGGTTGGAGGGAAGCTCAAGAGGGAGGGGATATGGGGATATATGTATATGTATAGCTGATTCACTTTATTATACAGCAGAAACTAACACAATATTGTAAAGCAATTATACTCCATAAAGATGTTAAGGGAAAAAAAAGGAATATCAGTTTGATAATGATAAGATTCGGAACAAGGGGATATATTAACAGGCTACCAAAGTTGAATCAAATGTCTTATCAGCTCTCTCATTTGCAGCTTGTCCAGCAGGCAAAGCTATTTCAAATGTATCCATAAAGACGTATATTAGAATGAAGACATTAAATGGAAAGGAGGAGATGGGAGAAGATATTGTGAAAATTCTATATGTTTGACAATGGATTGGATGGGGAAAGGGAAGAGAAATAAAACATCAGTGGTTACAGTTAATTCTTAAGGCAACAAGCTTGTGCCATTTACAGAAATAGGAAATTTAGACAAAGGCTCTGGTTTGCCAGGGAAGCTAGTGGATTTGAATATTAGTCTTGATAAGGATGAAATGCCATTGCTTCATAAGGAAGGTCTGGATCCATCAGGCAGTTGTCGATTTTTAGGAAAGCACTTATTGCTAATGAAGTTGTGAGTGTGAATTAAATTACTGAAATAAAATTTATAGACATAAGAGGGTTGGGAACTTCCTGGAAGGCCTGAAAATAAAGAAATAAACAGGAGAAAGCTGTGAAAGAAACTACAAAAGAGTGGTTAGCGGCAAAAAAAGGAGACAAGAGGATAGTCTCCATCACTTTTACAGCTCAATTAACTGTATGTTAATACAGTCTTTAGACTCTTAATGCTTCTATAATTCTTTTCAAATCTCATACCCAAAGTCAGTTTGGCTCAGGATAGACTGAGCCAATGGCTACATCACTGAATTATTACACACAAAAAAATTGTATTGCTTCTATAAGGTCTGGTAATCTGTTGCTATGCCTTTATATAGGAAATAAAATACAACATTAATACACTGGGAAACTCCCAGTCTGCCTCCCTCCCGTATGTTTCTATGTGTGCCCCTGTGCACACATAGAATGCTAAGATGCCTACATCTTTGCCTAAAGTTCAATGAATTTTTAGTTTAAATGAAAGGATACATTGAGCTTAATTATCAGGATATATGACCAAGTAAGCCTTTTTACTTTGGTGCCTAACGTGCATTCTCAATTCTAGTTTTTCGTACTTCGTGTTTCGGCTATTTACTTCTATTGTCTTCCTTCATCTCCAGATATATCAAGTTCTACAGGTATGTCCAGTTCAGCACAGGTTACTCTCAAGGCAAGAGAATCATCACATTTCATAACTTGACATGACAATAAGAATAGCTAGTGTATATATATATATATATATATATATATATATATATATATTTTTTTTTTTTTTTTTTCGGTACGCGGGCCTCTCACTGTTGTGGCCTCTCCCGTTGCGGAGCACAGGCTCCGGACGCGCAGGCTCAGGCTCAGCGGCCATGGCTCACGGGCCCAGCCGCTCTGCGGCATGTGGGATCCTCCCAGACCGCGGCACGAACCCGTGTCCCCTGCATTGGCAGGCGGACTCTCAACCACTGCGCCACCAGGGAAGCCCCAAGAATAGCTAATTTTTATTATGCATTTAGCAGATAACAAATGCCATACTAAGGGTTTTAATATATCAACTCTTTTGATCCTCACATACACTCTCAGTGGTAGGTACAATTATTTTCTCCATGTTATGCATGAAGCAAAGGGACATGTAGTGACTTGTTCTGGCTCACACATCATGATTAGGGTCACAGAGTTTGACTCCAGAGCTACACTTATCCTTTTCATTAAGCATCAAAATCTATAATTATCAGAGCCAACATTTTCCTTATTTTTTTTCAGTAGACCTTTGTTAAAAAGTCAGAAAGCATCCTAACTTTCTCAGATCTTAAATACTTGGAGATTAAAATATAAATCAGATAGTATTCCACTGAAAAGTGACTTCTATCAACTTGTCAAAACCGGCAGGTTCAACCAATATGAATAGTAGACAATACAATCTGAGAACTATTGCAGAAAAAGTAGTTTACAAATGGGTTTGGAAAAAAGTATCATCTGAAAAGCAAGCCTGTCTTTCATTAATGCCTTTTTTTTTTTGTAAAATAATTTTCACTCTTCATATTTCTGTTCCCTTTGCTGAAATCTTTCACTGGTTATTTAATCCCAATAAAACTGGTCTCCAAGCCTCAACTGTTCGGCCAGTCCAACACTTGAATAAATATTATTGGGCTCAAAAGGCAAAGCAGTTGGATGTAAGAGATACCAGTACATGACTCAGAGTATGATTCCATATAGTATGATGGACAGGATGCCATTCAAATATCCCATCTCATTGTACATTTCAGACAGCAGTTTCACAAGAACAGATGGGGCCCCAGGGCTCAGGACTTTTCATAAGAAAGGAACATGCACACTCCAAGTTCAGGCTTGACAGATATCCTTGTTTAAATTAAACATTTTGCACGATCTCCAGTTAAAGATCCAGCTGGTAATGGTAAGACTGGAAATGGTATTGGAAAAACTTGTTAGATTTTTAAATCAGCATTACAGCTGCCAATTGAAAAGGAACAGTCATCCATTCACATGTTTAAGCCAGGGAAGGATATCCTGGAATAAGTGTTAATTGTTAGGAAAAAATATGTCTAAAGCACTTACAATTAGCACTTACAGTCTGGGTCTTTGCCCGTGTTATTTAGTCAGTTGCTACAATAAACCTTTATGTATTTTTGCTGTGGAGACTTGGCAAAAATGCTGTGTTTTGCCTGTTATATACTCTTCAGTTTTAACAAGAAATGCACCAAGATAAACCTCGAAACGTACTTAAATCCAATTCTTTGATTCACAGCAAAGAGGTCACAAACAGCAAACCTGGTAAAATAAAATGTACTTTATGGAAAAATGGATTCAAATAAATTAACCTATTCCATGGCAGGATGGAGGCCCTTCCTAGACTGTGACCTGGCAGTTACACAAGCAAACCAATTGTGAGGAAAGCCTACCTTTTGGGGGCTAAACTGGGAGAATATGTATTTGTCTCTCTTCTCCTTGTTAATTATAAGACTGTTCAGATGGGAGGGGATGAATTTGCCTCAGTGATTCTTATTTCATTTTTAAGCCTATTTCCATATTGGGTGCAGAGAGCTGGTGGGTTGCTCTAATTTCCAGGGATATGAGAAAAGCTTTGCTATGTTACTGATCCATTCTCTCACTGTAACAAGATAGCCCAATACAGCAAGTAGGACAAGTAGAAGTTATTTTCATCTATAATATAAGAAGGAGCTTCAGGCCACGCTCACTTGAAATCTGAGGTAGAATTCGACCCATTCATGAGAGTCATGTATTTAATCAGGTTGTAAAGATAATATTTACTAGACGGCTGCTAGAAAGAGGCTATGAATGATTGGGCCCTTAATTAAAAGTATGATTTTAAAGTTTTGCCCCTTGGGAACCATTTACTTTTGTAGCCATTTTCCAAATATTTCCATCCTCAGGAATTTGCCTTTAATTTTTGAGTTGGAAAAAAAATGCAAAGCATTGAAACCAGGAATTCAATCACAGCTGGATAGATTGTGCACAGATGTCTCATACAAGTTACTGAAGAGTTGAAAGACAAAAATGAAATCTAGGGAGAGAAACCAGTATGATCTCTTAATGGAATATAGAAGGGCAGAACTGGGCACTTTAAAGATACATGGTAGCTATTAGCTAATTGATTAATTAGCTGATTAGTTCTTATAGAGTCAAGGAATTTGAAAATGACGCTTACATTCTTCTTCAAAAGCTCTCCTGTCTTGCTTGTCTGCACACAATTTATATTAAAAATAGTGAACATAATTCTAAAATATCAGAGGCTAGTCCAACTCAAATAGATCAACTTAAGAAAAATATATTGTTGTTTAAATAGATCACTTATCTTCCCTAAGTTTTTGTGCTTCCTGTCTTTGATTTATTTTTTTAAATTTCCATTATCATGTTTCCAGCTTATACATATCAGGGCTAAGAAATAACCTTGTTTAAACACGTGCACACAAGTCAGTTTCTCTCATCATATGGGAAACATTGAAGGTGGCATCGAGATTAGAAGTTACGATTAGGAGTAGCTCAAACATAAAAGATGATCTGCCTTTTCTCCGTGTTCACCATACTGTAGGAATGAATGAAATCACATTCACAGTAATAATTCAGTTATCACTGTCTTTACTAGTGTGAGACTTCTAGACCTCTGTAAAGTCCCTTCCATGTATTCTTAGGTGTCCTTGGGGGACACCTACTCACAAATATGAAGACTGGCCAAATTGCAGCCAATACTCCATTTCTTAGTGCCCTCAAAAAAACGAGCTAAAACTGAATAATTGTTTTGTGGTGATGTATAATGGGTTTTTTCCATTTTGTGTCACATTCTATTAACTATTCCTCAAATCAGTCTTACTTGCACTCTGGTATCTTACAGTATTTGGTGAAACAGCTCCCTGAATTTTGCATTATTTTGTTTTCCCATGTATCAGAGTTTATTCCTAGGATTAATATATGCAACCACTGCATTAGACTATGTGTAGATTTACATGGGGGCCGCCATTCTATACTCAGAATCACAAAACTGACTTTGTAGCTGACTCGGTGCCTTAGTAACTAACTCCTTCTTCCCCTAAATATACTCTTACTCTCTAGGGAGATCCTCCAGCCCCTTGGCTTACAGCATCTGTTTGGTCCACACTAGCAGTTAATCAGACATGCCCAGACCTGTACCCAAACCAGCCTGAACTCAAACTGGAACCTCTGACAAAGAAACCATGAATTGTCATTATGTATACAAATTTGTTACCAAATACTCAGTGGGTTTATAAGAGGAAGGCATTGATATTATATAAAAGATTTGCTTCTCTTTCTGAATCAATGGTCATTCAGCTAATCACCTTCTGAGTCTGCATCTCCCAGAGATGTCCAATTTGATGGGCCCTGGAGGAGAAATACCACAAGGAACTGTTGCAGGAAGCGGGGGACTCCTTCCAGGACCTGAGAGTAGGCTCTTGTCTAACACTCAGAAATGAATTGTCCAAGGAGACACACGTGCTGACAAAGCAGAAGACTTTATTGGGAAGGGACACCCAAGCAGAGAGCAGCCGGGTAAGGGAAACTAGGAGAACTGCTCTGCCACGTGGCTCACAGTCTCAGGTTTATGGTAATGGGGTTAGTTTCTGGGTTGTCTCTGGCCAATCATCTTGCTTGTACCATATTTGGTCTGACTCAGAGTCCTTCCTGGTGGCGCACAAATCTCTCAGCCAAGATGGATTCCAGCACAGAGGTTTCTGGGAAGTTGGCAGGACATATTATGGACTGGCGTCTCCTTCCCCCTTTTGGCCCTTCCTGAATTCTTCCAGCTGGCGGTAGCTTGTCAGTTCCATGTTCCTTATCAGGACCTCTTGTTGTGGGATAACTGCAAGCGGTTATTATCCTGCCTGGTTAGGGAGGGCGGTTTCAGTCAATGGTTCCCCAGAACCATGAACAATATTGCCCCTCACTAAAGCACCATAATGCTGTCTGGTGGAATTAGCTAAAGCCCACATTTAATAGAATCTGCTTTCATCTGGGTAACATTTCCCAGTCTTTCCATGGGGAGAAGAACTAGCAGTTGGTGTGCTGGTCTGCTAAGACACATGAAGCAGGCACACTTTGAAGGTCAACTTTACAGTCTGTCAAGTTGTGGGATGTGTGTAAGGAGGGGCATTTGTTTCATTCTCCTCTGATACCAATGAAAGCATCTAACCATGTCCCTTTGAGCAAAGGAGGAAAAAAACACTTGGAAAGCATCAGTGTCCCTTGGGTCACTTGACGGTTCATGAATTACCAACATATATGAAACTATTCATTATACAAAACTATAATTTGTATAGCCCCTTATTCAGCATGAATACTACCCATGTGTGCCAAACATACACAGTTGTAACTTCATTACAGTAAGTATTCAAGGCAGGGATGTCTAACCTCTAATTTCCTTCTCTGTCATACACACAAACACATACACAGAAACTGCAAGAGAACGTCCACATTTTCTTATTATGGACACTTTTGTTAAAAGTGGTAACCAAAATGTGGAAAATATGCAATGTTCACCACACAGGATATTCATAATAGTATGAGTGGAATGAAGGCTCCAAAGCAACACCTGAAGGCTAGGTGATCACTTGAAAATGTCAGGAATTGCACATTTTTGAAAAGATGTTATGATGTAACAACAAAGCAAAGTGAAGGAAGAGAAATAGATGTGTTTATTTTAAATATCCTTTCACATTTTAGGCAATCTCATTATGGGAAATATTATGATAGAATTATATTCTTCCTCTTAATTATCCCACAAATTTGATCTTAATTACCTCAATGTTTTGAAAGTTTCACAGAAAGAGAAAAGTGAAATAATGGTATAAATTTAATCTCTAATAAAGACCTGACTTCCCAATTATCTGAATTATCCTGGTATTAGAGGAAGAAGAAGGAAGAGAAAGAAGAGAAAAGAAATAAACAAAAAGAAAATAATAACTAAAACCTCCCATCTTATTGGACTAAATAAAACCAAGAGAATTAATAAATGGCTTTTTTTAAGGTAAATTCTTATGTGCCTAAAAATAATATTTATTTTTGAGCTTTTTCAAGAGATTGTGGCGTGGAAGACCACAGATGATGGGTACAAAAGAAATGCCATTTTTGGAGTGGTGGTGGTGGTGGTGGTTGGCAAGCTTTCTAACTGTCTTTATGGACAGACACAAAGGAAAGGGTAAAGACAGCTAAAACGATTCAATTGCAGAAACTCATTAGGGTCTGAATATGGAGCCCTGGCAACACAGCCCTTGTGGAGTGGGAAAATGCTAGGAATACTCTCTACTTCCTTTTCCCTCCTACCCAATCCTTACTCCAACTCTGAAGTGAGAACCATTATATTGATTTGATTTTTTTTAAGCAAAGGAGAGAGAATGGGCTCCCAAGCAAGCTGAGCAAGAGGCTTAACCCTGCACTTTTCCATAACGAAGGCCTATTCTTGAGGGAAAAGATTTTTCCAGAGCCTTATCCCACCTAGAAAGGCCTTTCCTCTCATTCCATCTTCCTCTAGCCTTCTTGTCTCAGCAAAGGTGTGGGGGAACGGAATATAGTCAAGAAATAGTCAATGGAACATAGTCATGAAATCTATTTCTTTAAGGAAATATATTGGGAATACTGAAGCCGGGGAAGTAAGGAAGTGAATGTGTGGGGGCAGGGTATGCAACTGAAAACTCTTGTGAAGATCAGAGACACAGGTTCACTAAAAGACTGAGATTTAATTGGAAGCTTACAGAACATTCCCCTCTCCCAGACCTTGCCACCACATCAACAAGGCTCCAGTATAATTACAGTGGGTGACAGTTGAAAAGCAGTAAGACACATAATCTCCCTGAAGGGAAATACTTAGAGAAGGCCAGAGTCAATGGGGGAGACCAATGCAAGGGTCTTGGAGGAATTTGAAGTCTCTGCCACCTACATGTTTGCTATAGCAAACATTAAACATAGTCCAATTCCTAGCCAGATTAACATAATACCTCACATTAAAGACCTATTTAATCATTTTCTACTACCTGGAGCACCATGTTTTGCTGTCAACAGATAATTAAAAAGTGTGACAAAAATCAAGGGAAAAAAACACATTCTGAAAAGACAAAGCAACCATTACAACCAAACTTATATTTAACACAGAGGTTGGAATTACTGGACAGAAAATTTAAAATAACTCTGACTAATATGTTAAGGGCTCTAATGGAAAAAGTAGACAACATGTAAGAACAGATAGGGAATATAAGCAGAGAGATGGAAACTCTTAGAAAGGACAAAAAGATATTGCTAGAAATCAAAAAGACTGCAACAGAAATGGAAAATACCTCTGATGGGCTTATCAGTAGACTTGGTTGATAAAAGAATCAATGAGTTTTAAGATAGGTCAATAGAAACTTTCCAAACTGAAATACAAAAAAAATTTAAAAATTGGAACATTCAGGAACTGTAAAAAATTTCAAAAGTTGTAAAATGTGCATAATTGGAACACCAGAAGAAGAAAGAGTGGAGCAAAAGAAATATTTGAAATATTAAAGGATAAGAATTTTCCAAAATTAATGACAGACATCAAACCACAGATCCAAGAAACTCAGTATTAAGCAGGATAAAATCCATACCTAAGCATATAATATTCAAATTGCAGGGAACTAAAGACAAAGAAAGGAATGGGTATGACTCAGATAGGAATGGATAAATATATACCATACTAACAGTAATTAAAAGAAATCTGAAGTAGCTATGCTAATTCTAGACAAAGCTGACTGTAGAACAAGGAACATTTTCAGGGATAAGAAGGGACATTACATAACAATAAGGAAAACATTACATAGTTATAATTTCCAAAAAGACATAATAACTCTAAATGTGTATAAATCTAACTAGAGAATATCAAGATACATGAAGCAGAAACTTACAGAACTGAATGGAGAAATAGACAAATCCACCATTATAGTTAGAGCCTTAAACATCCCTCTGTCAGTAATTGATATGTCAAGCAGGAAGAAAATCACTAATAACATAGTTGACCTGAACAGCACTATCAACCAATTTGATGTAATTAACATTTATGTAATATCCATCCAAAAGAGGCATAATGAATATTTCACTCAAGTTCACCTGCAACATTTACCAGGACCACATTCTGGTCCATAAAATATACCTTAGCAAATTTAAAAGAATAGAAATCATAAAAATGAAACTAAAATAGAAATCAATAACAGAAAGATAGCTGGAAAACTCCAAAATGTTTGGAAGTTTAAAAACATACTTTTAAATAGCAGATGGATCCAAAAATAAATCTCAAGATAAATTTTTTAATGTTTTTAATTAAATAAAAATGAAGATAGAGGATATCAAAATTTGTGGAGTAAAGCAAAAGCAATGCATATTGGGAAATTCATAACAATAGCTTTAAATACATCAAATAACTTAGATGAAGTGATCAATTCCTTGGTCAAAACTCATACAAGGGAAAACAGATAATCTGAATAGTCCTGGAAAAATCAAAAGTAGAGAGATGGTTAACAGATGATTTGTTGCATTTATCAAAACTCATAGATTTCATAGTACATCAAGTGAGTCAACGTATGCAAATAAAAAATCATTTAGGAGGCTGAAAGACCACAGGGTGGAATGCAGATTGTAAAAATTTGAATCTAACTGTATTACAAAGATATGAATTAGGGTCACTGAAGGAGGAGGAAGAAAAAGATACTGACCTAAGTAACTGGGAATGGGTAGAGTCTGTTAGAATAAAGGTAAGAGGAAGAGTATATAAGTGTTGTATTTGATAAAGTTGTTTCTCATAGAAATTGGATAGTGAATGGCAAGAGTGGCGGAGAGTGTCTCACTGTTGCAGTGAGAGGTGATAGTAAATAAGTGGAGGAGTCTAGAATAATCCATGTGGTGGTACTGGTTAGATTTGGAAACATCATATGAGCTCATGCTTAGCTTAAAATAGATACACATGGTTACATAAAGAGATATTTATAGATTTGTGTACATACAGGGATTAGCACACTCATGTATTTCCTTGCTCTGTCAGCTGAGATGGCCTACAAGCAGTAACACACCAGTAGCAACAAGCACACCTAGGGCTTACATGTTGGTTTCTAATACCATATTCCAGTAAGAAGAACCAGGACTCCTTGAAGAAACAGCTGATTATAGAACTGGGGCAGGAAATACAAAGGAGCCTGGAGCATTCTGTTGTGTCAGAAAGTAAGAAAGTGCTCACACACACACACACAAACACTCATACACAAGAACACACACACAAAAACACACTTTGGTAATATTTCAAGGAGACAAATGGCCAACCGAAGAACCTCTCAACTGCCAAAATTGGAATAAATTGAGCAAAAAAATAGTTTTGGATTATGACCCAAAGTATAGAATAAATGTCTATGAGTCAATACTGATATAAATAAATGACAAAAAAAAATGAAAAGACAAATCTTCCATTCAGAAGAATTCCATATAATTTATGTAGATATTCTACTCCCACAGAAGTAGAGCACA